GTCGGGGAGTGGAGGGCAACGCAACTGACGGTAGTCTAGACAGTTGTCATGGCGGTAGATGACCTTCATAGCGTCTCGCAGAGGTCATGGCATGTCCTATTAATGGACAGTTCAGGGGTTCTTTCTGACGACGTAAAAAGCTGACCTGTGGGGAAAATTCTGTCAGGTCTAACCACAGCATCTCTTTCTTTAAGGCATTCGTTTGAGAGGGCGTAATGCCTGTGTGGACATTGTGGCCGGGTAATAGTAGGGACACACGGACAACAACAATAACAGATATTTAGAGCGTTGGCTGTACTAAATCCTCACTTTGCTGCCGTTTTATTCGAATCACGCCGAGGTACCGAGTATTTCACACATGGCTCAAAGTGATTTATTTGACATCTGCTAAAATACCTCTGAATAATGATAATAATAACAAAAAATAACTACAGGAACCACAACAACGACAAGGTCTAACGTGAGTCCGAAATTGCAAATGGAAAAGTAAAACCTTAATCTGTTCGGTGGACGTGCTTCTAACACAAGCTTATATTCCCGATTGCAACTGACAGGCCACCTGTCCGTGGCTCAGTGGACGGTGTGTTGGACTTGATCACGTTCGATGATCGAATAACGTGTGGTGGAGTTTTGGGTTCTGCATTCCGGGTGCTGGGTAATGTTGGCTGACGGCGGTTAATAAACCAGCAGTAGCCATTACCGTCTCCCTTGACCTCGATTGTATTTATGGTTATTGGACGACTGCTGGGCCCCAATGCACATCAGGACGGCCATATCGAGTGGCCCAAATGGTAAAAGAAACCTCAACATTCTATTAATTGAGCGACTATAGCGATAACTCATAAGCAACTATTAAAAATTCAAATATTTCCGTCGCATATACTGCTACTACTATTACTGTTTCTACTACTACTACTACTACTACTACTACTACTACTAATAATAATAATAATAATAATAATAATACTGTTAAGGCTAATTCCGCAACTGTCGCTTCCACTAGTACTGCTACTACTACTACTACTACTACTACTACTAATTTACTACTCTTCCTACTGCTACTACTACCATCACCACTGCTAATACTCCTCTTCCGTCTGACAGTTCGACAGTCGCATCCGACGAGGTCCCCCGTGTGCCCCACACCACGGTGAATTGCACGTAAATTAGTTTATAATGAGTGTGCACTCACGCAGCATCTACCGCACTACCTCTACCTCCCCAACCTGAACCCTGTGAGGATGCTGTTAGAAAGCATATATGCCGGTGCGGGAAAGTACGATGGTGTGGTGCAGCCGGCGATTATCTACCGCAGGTTTTCGTGGATACGCATATGATCGGATAGGTCCATGATTTGACTGAATGCGCGACTGTAGTGAGGACAATTGAGGCAGATGCGGCGAGGGTATGTGGGTGCTCCAGGCACTGGTTCGCCAGCCTCCGAGCGACGGATTTGCAAGTGACCGACCAAGTCAATGTGTGAAGTGGATTCGCGATCGCAATGAGGACGGGGCTGAACGGAGTCTACATCGCTGGAGTTGGGAGTGCTGGTGGTGATGGTAACAGGTGATGGGGCGTCAGACGTCGCCCCATCGTCGGGGAGGAGTGTGGAACGTCGTGGTGTTGGCGGAGCTGGTCGCTGTGATGACAAGACGGGATCCCGACACAGACGTCCTTGAACGGACCGGAATCTACAACATTCAGAACATGTTGGGGCAACTGCAAATGCGACGGAGCGGCCATCTAGTGAGAATGGACGGCGCTCGCCAATCAAAGATGTCGCGACGGGTGCTCGCCGACCGAGGTGCAAGGGTACTTTGAAGATTTCTCTGAAGCGACTGCATATCAACCCTTGGACCCAAGAGTAACTCACCCAGAACAGCCCGGCCTGGAGAAGAGAAGGGAGAGTCGCAGGGACGACGTCCTTGTACAACTTCAGTCTTGTATTCAGTTGGGGGCCCTGCGGATTGCACACGGAGTTCTGAAGTCGGCCAAAGGGTTGGCCGGCTTTGGAGATCCGGTGGATAACCTCATTTTCTATTCCGGTGCTGTTCGAAAGTGTGCTTCCGAGGTAAGGAAAGATGTCAACGGTTCTGAATTGGTGGCCGTAAATAGTGGTTCGAGGAAGAGTGCAGTATTGCGTGTTGGGTGACGGTTGGTGCATGACCGCCGTTATTCCTTGTTGATAGTCAGGCCGAAGTTGGCGCACCAGGCGGCGAGGAGGTCCATGCTGCGTTGTAAATCCACCTCGGTCGGGTTGTTGTTAGCGCAGTCATCGGCGAAGAGCAGATCATACATCGCGGTTGCAGATAGCTGGGATGGGTGCTTGCATGCGCATGCTGTTGAGAATATACCTTTCGGTTCCGTAGGCGATGCATACCCCAGAGAGATCATCGCTGTATACGTCCGTCAGCATGGCAGAGAACATGAGCCTGAAGAGGGGTTGAAACGATTATGGAGCCCTGCATGTGGCCGAATAGGCCCATGCGATGCCTGAAGGCGTGAGGGCAGTGTAGGCAGTTGAGTCGAGCATGGTGAGTATAGGTTGGTGCTCCAGGCACTGGTTCGCCAGTCTCTGTGCGATGGATTCGCACGTGACCTCCCAGGCCGATGTGTGCGGTGAAGGTGCGGTCGCAGTGAGGGCAGGTGTAGTCCTGTTCCTCATCGCAG